GTTTTCAACATTCCAATTAGCACCACCAGCTAAATTTCCCACAACGCACCAGGGAAAGTGTAAAGAAATTGGGCTCCTCTGGATTCCACTCTCTACTACTGTTATCACCTTTAAGTCAAAACCAAGCAGGATGAAACCCACTAACAAGCCCTTAATTAAAGAACACCCTCAAATGAATATAATGTTGGATAAAACAGTTCCAGATATAGCTATTTTTTGAGCTTTGAATAATTTGCTTTGAGTATTCTGGTGTTGTTTCTAGCCTAATCTTTATTGCCCTGCTTACAGAAACTGCCTCTCCAGTTAACCCTTATTACATTGTAACAGCTAAGGCGAAGCGCGCATCGACCTGAGTGACCTTGAGTTGGCCCCGCCCACCCAGTCACATGACCACCGAGGTCCACCTACCCAGATGGTCATTAGGGCAGAGAACCGGTTGTTAAATTATTTGAATCCCACCACTGGTATGTATGTATGTGAGATTGTGTGAGTTAATGATTTAAAGGACTGGAATAAGTATCATAAAACCCCATTTCTAATTCTATCTTGGCACAGAAGCACAGGAATCATTCTCACACACCTTTAGACCGACAAGCTGAAAAACATTTCCCTAACAGCCTGCCCTAGACCAACATAGTAGATTATAGTCCATAACCTCCAATTGAGGTTTTATGTCTATTAAGTCTTTATATAATTAATATTTCTGTCACAGGAATGATTTTTCCCATGAGCATAATGTCAGTTGGTAATGAGATCAGAATATTTGTTTCAGGTGTCAACCACGGAGAGAGAATTGTGCTGAGGCTAGAGTGAACAAACTAAAGGGATTTATTTACAGATCATTTTGACATTTGGAAACCTGTCATTTTCAACCAGGGGGAAGCTGTCTCAGAAAATTAGGATTATGAGGATGGACTATCTTAGATTGCCATCTAAACTGCTGGCTGCTATTTATGACAATAATTAGTTAAAAGTTGATCGGTAGGAAAAGTTGAATAAAAGATGGCAGCAAGAACTAAGGGCAGAGCAGCAAACCACTTGGTGGTTTGTTTGGGGTTTTTTGTCGTATAAAATTACTCTTTTGAACCTTTTAAATTCAAGTCATTTTTCCCCCTTTTCATCTATAGCAGTGATGACAAACCTTTTCAGCACCGAGTGCCAAAAAGAGAGTGTGTGCACTTTGTGTGTGCTTTGCCTATGCTTTGTGCATGCTTTGCACATGGTTTGCATGTGCTTTGAATGTCTAGGCCACAACCTGGAAAAGGAGCTGCCCAGGGTGCATGCATGCGCCCGAAAATGAACTTCCGGTTTCAGGCAAGGGCATGTGCACTGACCAGATAGTCTTCTGAGTTTCTGGCATGCATGGGCGTGTTTCGATCAGCTGGCTGGCACGCATGGTCATGCAGGAAAACAGAAAACCAATTCTTCCAGTTTCTGGTATTGCTGCACACACGAAGGCCAGCTGAGCATCACACACGCATGCACGCCAGAAACCCAGAAGAGGAACGGGTGATGCCACACGTGCCAGGCGACATGGCTCTGCATGCCACTTTGGGCACACGTGCCATAGGTTTGCCATCACAGATCTATAGTAACACATTCTTTAAAATGAAGGTTTACATTTCAGTTTCATTTCCCAAAAGGAAGTCTCAAGTATTTAAGAAAGAGCTCTCTCCCCTGGATAAGAGACTTATGTGACCTCTTTATTCCTCCCCTTATTTCCCATAAAAGTGGTATGGGAACTATTCTTTGTACAGAATAAAACTTCATAAAACTTCTGAAGCAACATGAGTGATGCAGCAAAGTTTGCAATTAACAAAGAATTGGCAAAGATGGCAACATTGACATGTTTGATTAGAAAAAGAACAATAACTATATTTCTTAGTATGGCTGGATGGGCATTTTCCTGAAAAAAGAAAAAAATACATGATTTATGAGTTTGGTGATTAGAAAGAGTAAAATATGGAAAGAAGGGAATTAGGTTGAAACATTAGAGAGGGTAATATAAATATACTTTTAACTGCTATTAACAAAACCAGAACCTTGCCTTGCATTGTCATTGCCTTTTTCTTCTTTTCGTTCTCTTTTCTTTCTCTTTTCTATTTGTTTCTTTGTGCTTATTTCTCTGACTTATTAGTTCCTTTTCTTATTTTTCTCTTCAAAATTTTGATTCTTTTTATTCCTTAAAAAAATTCTTGAAAACTGTCTGGACATGTCCTTACAGGTTTTTTTGTCAAAGTTTTTTAGAAGTTATTTGACATTGTCACCTTCCTACAGCTGAAAGAAAATGAATGGCTCAAGCTGGCTTTGCCCCTAAGGCAGGAATGTATAATTCACAATCCCCAACTTCTAGCCTGATGCCCTTAACCATTATACCAAACTGTCTGTCTCTATCTCTGTCTCTCCCTCTGTCTCTCNCTGGGTGCATCTTATACACTGAATACAGCATTTTTTGCCTCCTGAAACCCCACCCCCTTCACCAATATGGCCATGCATAGCTGGTAGAAGGCTTTCAGAGAGCTCCTGGGGGCTGGGGAGGGCAGAAATGAGAAAAAAAACAAGCCTGTTTTTTTTGTTCAATCCCCCCCCCCATGTCCTCAGGAGCACTCTATGAGCTTTCTAATGCCCTTTTTGACAAAAATTGGGCCCATTTTCGTGAAAAACAGGCCGCTTTTGGGAGATTTTGCAGAGTGCAAAACTTTTTTTTTTAATTTGCCTCTTCAAAACCTTGGTGCGTCTTATACTCCGAAAAATACGGTAAGTCTAAGTGCTATTGCTATTAGAAGTGAAACTTTCAAAGCAAAAGAAAATAAGTCCAGTGGCCATGATGTAACTCCCCAATATCTCTGTCTGGATGACTGAGACTCTTTGTAAACATATTTTTTAAAGGAAGATTCTATCCTTTGCCCCTAAAGTCACAGCTGAATGTTTAATTATTTTTTATTATTTATAATAAATATAATAAATATATTATTTATAAAAAAGAAATAAAAGTGGTGTAGGGTTTCCTGCCTAAGCAAGGGGTTGGACTAGAAGACCTCCAAGGTCCATCCCAACTCCGTTATTCTATTCTATTCTAATAAATTATTTTATTATTATTTATTTACTTTGCAATTTTGTTGCAAAGTAAAAGGTCAACTTGTCTCAGGGCAACCAAGTAACTGGGTTTGATCATATATATAAAGATAATGTTTTTGCACAACAAAATTAACTTTTTTAAAACCAGTTTAATAAAATACATTCAGTCAACACAGGGACTATTTTGAAGTATGTTTAAATCCAAAGCAAGGAAGCCTAAATAGAAAATGCACAAAATAGTAACCCTTTCAAAGCATAGGGTTAACAAAAGGGTAAAGTCTCCTAAGCTGAGGCTGTGTTGAAAAAGTGTTGGCCAATGAATTCATCCTAATGAGTTTACCTTCATATCCTGGAAAGCATTTTTGGTAGGGACTAATTGATGATTGCTTTATTGCCAGTTATTATTATTTTTTCAAATGGAAGAGAATATATGTAGTTCATGATTCAACTGCTAAAACCTTGGTGCTCTGTGAGTTTGATTGTTTGCTTGCAGAAGTTTCATTAGCCAGACAAACAAATAACCAAGCATTAATGACTGTACAGTTTTTATCTTTTAGTTCTGTTTACAGTTACGAGAGTTCCTAGTCCACCAACCAAATATTAATCAGGTCTGTGGGATGGGAACAGGGGGAGTGCACAGTGACACAAGCCCTGTGCTATTTATTTATTTTTATCCTACCTTTATTTTATTTTTTTATCCATTCAAGGCGATGTACCTATCAGATGCTCTATTTTCCCCCACAAGAATCCTACAATAACCGATTTCATTGTATACATGATGTACAATGACACAAGCCCTGTCCTATTTTTTTTATCCTACTTTTATTTTTTATCCATTCAAGGTGCTGTACATATCGGATGCTCTATTTCGCCCCACAAGTATCCTACGATATTTGATTGTACACATACGTACAAGGACAATAAAGGCTATCTAAAAGAGTTGGATTGGGCTGAGAAAAACTAACTGGCCCAAAGTCACCCAAATGGCTTTTTATTCCTAAGCCAAAACTAGAAATCAAGAGTCTCCCAGTTTCCACCCCAACATTTGAACCATTAACCCAATCTGCTGCCTCTCAGTTCTGTAAGTCAAAATGGTGCACCTACCCACCAAAGGGGCAAAGCTCGCACCCAGCACTGCAATGGGCTCCCCAATAGCACCAAACACGTTCACCAATGCTTGACCTCCAAGCATCGGTGGAGTGCTGCTACTTACTGAGGTGCACATGGGGGAGGAATGCCAGTAGCACACCTAAGTCTAGACCCCAAGACCAGACTTTGACATTGGAAGACAGGAGAGTCTCCATGCATTCCCAAATTAACCGGGGGGAGGGGGGGGGCAACACCAACGAAAAGCCTCTTTTCAGTTGAGCTGGGCTCATTGACCATTCCTACACTAATTTATCTGCCTCGGACCAGAAAAGTGCTTTAATTATGCCACTTTTTTTGGGGGGGGGAGGGTGGAAACTTCCAAGGATTTCCTCGTGGTCTCCACTCCCTGTCCGCGGAAGGCCGCGGCGAGCTCTACGGCGCCCTCTACAGGCGGCCAAGAGTTTGACGCCGCCGAAGGAGGCCCCGCCTTGGCGCCATCTCCCACCTCGCATCCCTCTCCAAACGCTGGGGATGCCCGGTTGGGAGTTACCGGACGCCACGCTCATTTCAGGGCAAAAATAAATAAATAAATGTGGGAGCCCCCCCATTCAACGCGCCTCCATTTCGGGCAGGTCACGACGCTCACGGCCTCCGCCTGTCCAGGCCTAAGGCCTTCCCGCCGGACGCTCTCCGGCCTCCTCCCGCTCCTCAGCTTCCACTGAGGAAAACGCCGGCGAAAGCATCCTGCCGGGGGAGGAGGGGGGGAGCTAAGACAGTAGAACAGCCGCCACTCCACCCCGAGTTCGCTCTCCTGCCCTCCCCAGCACTCTCACCGCTTTCTTCATGGTGGCCGCCATGTTGTGGACTAAGCCACCTACTCCTTTCTAGACGGGGAGGTTTCCCATTTGGCCGAGGCTCTCTCTCTCTCTTTCTCTCCTGTTTTATCTGCTGCGCCTGTTCGTCCGAGTCGCAGTGAAAGGGAGCGGCTTCAGCGTTCAGTTTGAGGAAAGACGCGGCTTCGGCGCTCCGTTTGAGGGAAGACGCAACTTCCAACTCCCCTCACCTCGAGGATAGTTGGTATAGCCCAAAAGAGGGGCTAGAGGAGGAGGGCGGAGAGCAGCGGGAGGTTGGAAAATGTAGGCAGGTTGTGATGCTGGCGAGAACCGGCAGAGGGCGCAGCGTCCTTGTTAATGATGGAAAAGGAAGGAAAAGAAAAAAAAATCTTATTTTGCAACCTAGTAATAAAGGGAAATTCTTTTTCCCATTCAAGTGCACGCAGCACATGAGCACAACCCTGCAGCTGCCTTTATTGGTACCTACCTATCTGATTTTTAGTTCATTTTTATTACTTTATGAGTAATTCAAGATGGGGGATATATAAGTCCTTCCTCCTTCCCCCCCCCCCCACTACAATAACCTTGTGTGGCGTGTTAGGATTGAAAGAGAGTGCCTTGGAATGATTTAATTTGTTTTACCAATAAAGGAGATTATTTGTAGCTCAGGGCTGAAATGAGGGGCCCTTGATACTCTGAACTTGGTGGTTTTCCTGCAGACGTTTCATTACCCAACTAGGTAACATCATCAGTGTGCTGATGTTGAGTGGGGTTTGCTCTCTCCACTCCTTATTAGCACTGATGATCTTATCTAGTTTGGCCAATGAAAGTCTGCAAGCAAACAACCAACCTCAGAGAGTACCAAGGACCCCTTAATTTGATTCTCTCTTTCTCTCTCTCTCTCTCCCTCCCTCCCTCCCTCACTCACTCACTCACTCTCTTTTTCTCCCTCTCCCTCCCTCTCTTGTTCTTTAGGATGGCATGAGGAAAAATTATGATCTTCCCTTTTCTCATATTTTAGTTAGAAAGTCCCCCCCTTCGATTTCACATATTAAAGGCAAAAGACTCTTTAACACCTGAAATTTGGCACGATAAAAATTGATTTATGAGTTGTGCATAAGAAAAAAAAATCAGTGTTCCCTTTTTGAGAACATTAATGAAAAAAATGCTATTTTGCAATATGTCCTTTTCACTGTTCTTTTTCATTTCCTCCTTAAACTAAAGGCTTTAATCAAGGCAAATGTGTAAGAATTATTTTTCCAGAGGAGAGGAGGCTTTTCCAGTCATTAGGATACAAAGCCTTTGGGAATGGGTAAAGGTAAAGGTTCCCCTCGCACATATAATGCTAGTCATTCCCGACTCTAGGGGGCAGTGCTCATCTCCATTTCTAAGCCGAAGAGCCAGCGCTGTCCGAAGACATCTCCGTGGTCATGTGGCTGGCATGATTAAATGCCAAAGGCACACGGAACACTGTTGCCTTCCCACCAAAGATGGTCCCTATTTTTCTACTTGCATTTTTACATGCTTTCGAACGGCTAGGTTGGCAGAAGCTGGGACAAGTAACAGGAGCTCACTCTGTTACGCGGCACTAGGGATTTGAACCGCTGAACTGCCGATCTTTCTAATCGACAAGCTTAGCGTCTTAGCACTGAGCCACCACATCCCTTGGGAATGGGTAATGCAACAATAAAGCAACACAGCTTCGAGAGTCAAGGTTATTTGCACAGATTTCTTTCCTGTATCAGAGTGAAATGGAAATAATTTTAAAACTTCCTGGACTTGACACCACTAATTTTGCAAAAGACTGGGGACTCTATTTATTTTACGGGATAGCTCTATGACTCTCTGTCCTTGGCTAACATCTGAATCATAGGAGTCAACGCCCAGTCAAGTAGATTGTGATATCCATTTGAATTGATAGAATAATCATAATATAAAGTCACGTGGCAAGGGTAACGTCCAATCACATAAGTAGACCGGTGGGATTTTAATAACCTCCGCACTTAATGACCTATTAATCACCAGGGAAAAGTGGGGTATAAATAGATAAGGATGTATTCTGTCTAAAAGTCTCCTAATCTAAGATTACTTCCTTCTGTTCATCCTCCCAGGTACAAACATGTGCAAAGAACATGTTTTTGTTGACTCTCCTCTGTAGGATGCAATTAGCTTGATGCTAAATATTGCCTATCCCTTTAATATGCATGCGCTTCCCGTAAATGAACCTCCTTTCTTTTACAATTATTAACCCTTCATCATTATTCATTGCTCGGGTCATGTTTCTTATACTCAGAAGCACACACACACAATGCTCCAAACACCCAACAGACTTCTTCTTACTTCAAAATCCTTAAAGAGTTTTTAAACTTGTTTGATTGTTTAATGAACTGAAACTGCGATTTGGACCAGAGGTCGTATTCAGCAGGTTGTGATCAGTTCTGGAGAACCAGTAGCGGAAATTTTGAGTAGTTCGGAGAACTGGCAAATGCCACCTCTGGCTGGCCCCAGAGTGGGGTGGCAATAGAGATTTTGCAGAATCCTTCCCCTGCCACGCCCACCAAGCCACACCCACAAAACCAGGAGTAAAAAAAAAATGAATTTCACTACTGCCCACCCCCATCTATTCTCTGCCTCCCGAGTCTCAGCTGATGGGGAGTGAATGGGGATTTTGCAGTATCCTTCCCCTGCCACACCCACCAAGCCACGCCCACAGAACCGAGTAGTAAAAAAAATTGAATCCCACCACTGATTTGGACATAGGCATCTGTGGGATCCTCAGGGGACAAAGGGCAATATAAATATAACAAGGCAAGCCTTGCCTTATTTTGCACATGTACTGTAACAATGTACCGTATTTTTCAGAGTAAAAGACCCACCTCAAAAAAGAGGATGAAAATCTGGGTGGGTTTTAAACACTGAATACAGCATTTTTTTTACCTCCTGAAACCCCGCCCCTTCACCAAAATGGCTGTGCATAACTTGTAGGAAGCTTTCAAAGAGCTCCAGGGAGCTGAGGAGGGCAGAAATGAGCAAAAACCGGGCCAGTTTTTTGCTCAATTTTGCCCTCCCCCCAGCCCCCAGGAGCACTCTGTAAGCTGCTTAAAGGCTATCCATGCCCTCTTTTTGAAAAAAACGGGCCGTTTTTGAGAGGTTTGCAGAGTGCCAAAACTTTTTCTTTTAATTTGCCTCTTCAAAACCTTGGTGCGTCTTATACTCAGAAAAATATGTACATTTATACACCACAGGAGAAGTTTGCCTCATAAGGCACTCACTTCCTCATTCTGATGAAACTCTGATTCTATAGATGCCTCTTGAAGGTGAAGGCATAATTCATTACTGTTATGTTCCTAATATAAAAAGTAAGTCGAAGGACGTAAATAATGAGTGTAACAATATAAATGGGCTAAAGCAGTAATTCCACACACTCACACAGACACGAGTGCAAATAAAGCCTTTTGCCGGCAGGTTGGTTTTCCCAGAATGCCTGACCTTCTGCTATTGTTGCCTTTTAATAGCAATAGCACTTAGACTTATATACCGTTTCACGGTGCTTTTACAGCCCCCTCTAAGCAGTTTTACAGAGTCAGCTTATTGCCCCCAACAATCTGGGTCCTCATTTTACCCACCTTGGAAGGATGGAAGGCTGAGTCAACCTTGAGCCGGTGAGGAACGAACGCCTGGCAGTGGGTAGAGTTAATCTGCAATACTGCATTCTAACTACTGGGAAGGAAGGAAGGAAGGAAGGAAGGAAGGAAGGAAGGAAGGAAGGAA